CCAGGTAGCTGGGCAGTTGGTGCTCTGCGTGGTCCTGGGACTTCAGACCTTGATTTAGACTGAGGCACACCGGCCACACTCGGCTCCCGCGAGGTGGTAGGTCCTGAAAGCAGGTTGCAGCTCCTCAGAGAAGGTGTCCTCCCGTCTCCTTGCCTGGTCTTGTGAAAGGATGGTTCCTTCCAGGACTTGGTTTCACGACAAACCACGCGACACAACCACGTACGAAAAATAACTTTGTTATTAAGCACATACAATCATATCCAATGTCCTTCATAGAACGGTTAGCGTACGTTTGACTGTTACATGGACCCGTCATAAATAATGAGCAATGGAGCTAAAGAGGCAAAGGGCTGGTCCCTGGGAAGGATAAAGCAAGCCCCAGAGTCAGCTTGAGACACAGAGGAACCTCCCCAGGGTGCTTGCTTCGGGATACTCCTAAGGGAGAGTCCTTGGGTGAGAGGGTGGTATTTGAAAAAGGATCAATCTCTAGGATTTTTCATAAAGCAATCAGGTTTGTTAAAGGAACATGGCAGGTCCAAGATTTTATGCTTTTAATAATCATGGTATTTCCCCCCCACCCTCCTCCAAATGGAAAAGGATTTTTTGAGTTGTGGTGAAACATGCATGCTGACGGTGCCAGGAGAAATTCCAGCCAGGTCCCTGAATTCATTATTAATAAGTCTACATGGCTCTGCTCAAAAGAGCTGCTTGGTCTCAGTTCCTGTAGATACTTTTCCTTCTGGAGAGGGTCTCTGGAGAGAGTGGGCGTGCATAAGGGGTGACTGTGGCCATGGCCGTGGCCGGCTGGGATGGGGGAGGGATGCCCACAGGATGGAGCTGCTGCTTCGGTCAGGCCAAGGGGATGGCCAGCTCCCACGCCTCTGCTCTGCACGCCTCTGCACCCGGAGGAGGCAGCTCTCACTCTGAAGGCTGGGAGGGGCTGGGGCAGGGCCAGGTGGCCTTGCCCTGGAAGGCGATGGGGGACTGACGATGCCTGGCAGCAGGCATTGCTGTGAGCGGGTCAGGAGAGTCCCTGGCTGGCGTTGGGGATGGATAAAGCAAAGGGAAGTCAGCGGAGGCTCTGGCCTCCCACCTCTTTAGCACAGACCTGCTCCCCATTCCTTTAGTGCTCTCTCCGGAGTTGGGTGGGGAGAGGGATTTTCCTAACACGTGAGCTCCCCTTGAATAGTTTCCATCAGCGGATGCTAACCCACTTGGCTTTCCAAACTCAGATGCAACCACATGTCTCTTTCTAGGCCTTACTTTTCAAATTAAAAAAAAAAAAAGGCAGGCAACCTTTCTACGAAAGGGTTGGGCAGGAGTGGAAGAGAGCCTCCCCCATTCCATGAAACATTACATGGTTTTTACCCCAAACATGAGCCTTCCTTAGGGTTTGAGCTCAGGCAGTGACCCTTTGTAAGACATGGTAGAAACGGTACTGTTTCTTTCTACTCCGCTTTTGAACACACACATAACGTGGGCATACAGGATTTCTAACGCCATGGTCCTAACAACTCACGGCCTGTGAGTCCCTTCCCCGTCCCAGAGACCCTCAAGGACAGGTGAGACCTGCCTCTGTGGGTGTCTGAGCCCATGACTCCTGACGAGAGTAGAAGGCCTCATCTTTTCCCTGCTGCGCAGCTGCTGGTTTCAGACTGCCGACCTTGTGGTTTGTGGCCCGGCATGGAACCACCGCATCCCACGGGCTCCCTCGTCCTGCGGTGGTCGTCCACATTTTGAGAGTCTGTGGAGTTACAAGGCTTTTGATGTGGACCTGACTCAGCAGCTTGAGACGCGGATAGACTGATGCCTGGGCCTTTGGCTGGAGGAGCGATCTAGAATCATCTTATGAATTCCAGATCGGATGGCCCTTGGGGCATTCTTTTTAATAGAGTATCCTCGCCGCTGGCCAAATATGCAGTTGGGCAGTATTTTATGAGCTTTTGGCAATAAAAAAACATGTTAAAAACACAATTCACTATTCAGAAAAAGGTAATGAGATACCTCATTAAAAAACAAACATAAGATGGATTTAACCATTTCTCACCTTGCCTGTACATAGCTTCCTTCCATCCATCCATCCATCCATCCATCCATCCATCCATCCATCCATCCACACCCTTTCAATACTTGATTCTCCAAGCAAGCACACACTACATGTATTCCATAGGGGCACCAACGGCTGCTCCAGGCCTTTCTTCATAAGCCGGAGGGAGGTGGCGGCCTGGGCTCTGGAGAGACGGCAGGGGCAGGGAGGAGCCTGGGTAAGAAGCATGGGGGATGGATTTTCTCTTGCCTTGAAGCCTCTAGTAGATGGCAATGGGGGCTTTTCACGTGCAAGAAATAGTGCAGCAAAGTGTCGGGGAAAGCCCAGCTACCAGCTGACAGCTGACAGGCTACGGAGGAGTGGGACCTGGGGATTGGCTGATGCTGCTGGTGTTGGTGCGCTTGAGATTTGCAGAGAGAGAGAGAGAGAGAGAGGCCCTTCCTGCTCCTCTTAAGAAAGAGGCTGGGAAATTGACCTGCAAATACGAAAGCAGTGGTTCTCTTCAAACGGCCTTTCCTGGTCAGAGCTAGAAATGACATAGGTCACCAAGACGGAGAATGAAAAGCCAACTGCTCAACGAAAAAGAGGGAGCCGCCACACCCATGAGCCAACAGGAGCGGTGAAGGTGACCATGCAGAAAGCCACACACACACACACACACACACACACACACA